TTTTTATGCAACAACATAAATAAAACAACAAAAAATATATGAATATATTTTTGAAAATACAATTAAAAATATTTAAATAATTTTATAAATATCGCATTAACATTAATACTTACAGTTTCAAATCAAATTTATTTTAAAAGTCGAATAAAACTAAATTTTAATTTTGAAACTCAAATCTATTTTGAAACTTGTGTTGTTGTTTTTAAAAACCTTAATATTAAATAAATTTAAATATGACTTCAATTATTATTGATTGATTTCGAATTTTCAATTTAACAGGTTCAATTGAGTTCGATCAAATCTAAATTAACGATCCGAAAGAAGCACTTATCAATCATCGAATACAATTAAAAATCTTTTTTGATCGAAAGCTTCGTTACAAATATCGATAACAGCAACCATTGCGATTGGAGGAAGTACAACAACTGACGGACCAATACTAGTTACTAAGCACCGTAAAACAGCGTTGGCGGTATAGAGAAAAGCCAGCGCATAAAGTTTTCTTCTGATCCCAGGTATATAAAAAATCAACGAAAATTAATAAATTAACTACAATGGCACCTGTGCGGGGGGATGGTATGAGAGGCCTGGCAGTCTTTATATCGGATATAAGAAACTGTAAGTCATATTAAAAAATTTACAATATATATATATAAAATATTCTAGATATTATAAAATCTTATATATTTTAGTTATTAAAATCATCTATATAAGATATATTACTAAATTAATTACTTAAGCATTTATTGCGTTCAATTTAGATCGTTATAAATATTCAGTAACTAGCCTTCTTTAGATTCTCTTCAGTATTTTTATAAATTAATTGTTACTTTCTAGAAATAAAATTATATTACTTAAAATAAACGGACTAAAGAAGATTTGATTATAATTACAGAAAATCTCACTGTGGCTTATTAAAGGATTGCAGATATATTCTTAATAGGTCCTAAATTTCTCTTTGGTGAAGGTTACACAAGTTTGAAGTTAACCTCTATCATTAATTGTATTGTTGTAAAGCTAAAAGAGCTGCTGTTAAGAGAAACAAGTAATATTTGTTCGTGTGAAAAGATAGGGACGTAGACCCTTTCGCTCCTAAAACCTTACAAATAGTCTTATAGTCTCATTGTTTTTTAATTTTAATAATATATTTGCTTTTTATGTTCCTATAAATAGTAGTGAGTGGGATTTGTTTGTGTCAAAATAGGAAGATGTAGACTTGTCCGTTTCTAGAACCTAGAAAATAATCTTATAGTCTCAATGTTTTTAGAATTTTAATAATATACGTTGTTGTTGTAACCTTGTAGAAGTTATGCATGGTGGAAATCAGGTTCAAAGATCTTCTCAAGCTCAAAAAAACTCGCTAGTAATAGTAATAGTTTATCAGTTATAGTTATAGTTTGTCTTGTCCATATTTCGGTATGGTGTAAAACTAATCAAATATGGGAGTATTTATAGTACTTTTGCTCTATTGTTGAGATTTCTTTTATAACTCAAGCAAATTGTCAGCAATTTCTTTAGATTATCTATTGTGCATAGTGAAGAAGTACTCAATGTTTTGCTTTTCATTCAATTTCATTTTACAATCTGTAATAAGTAAACTAAATGAATGATATTCTCCAAGTAGGTTTGTGAAATGCCAATATTGATACAAATATCTACATTGACTTTAAAGTTGCCAGAAATGGGCGTGCTATACTAACCATCGTTTTTAAAATAACGCGACGTCTTCTTCTTATCCAGATAAAGTTTCGCAAAATTCAGGGAAAGATTAGTTTACTTTTGGTAACTCTGAAACAGATCAGCTAAATGCTTAACATTTTTGCAGTTATAGCCCAGTTATAGACATCAATAACAATTTTTTTGTTCTTGTATATATTTATCTTGTTCTGGAAAATAAGTCAGACTGATATACGGTTCAAAATTTCAAAAAAAACTGCTTATAATATTAGATTCTCTTGTCAATATATTGTAAATTTATAGTAGTTTATGTTCACAAAGTGTTAATAATGTGGTCTAACAGATATCGTATTTGAGGATTAATGAATATAATGAAGAGCGGTATAAGTCTCTTTTTGATTGTCAGAATATCGAAGCTGAGTCTCCAGTTTTTAAAGTAAGTTAATAAAATTTACTTGTGCATGGGGATTTTTTGGAATCCGGACAGGTCAAATCAATAAATAAGAAAAGTAGCTGACTTTAACATCTTAAAAAATATATCATTAAATTAATGGATTAATATTTAGCATAATTATCTGTGTAAAGGGTGTTGAATGTTCGATAAATACGAATTCACTTTGTACTTGTAATTTTTTTTAGATTTCTTTTATATTTAATTATGTACAACTATTTCTATTTATATATTTTACAATTAGAAAGTTTTTGTTTTAGACATGGTTGCTTGGCAATGTAAAAGTAAAAGTAGTGCAAAACGTTTATGCCAATATTCATGACCAAATTTAAAAATGGTCAGAAAGTAAATGATCAGTATTTGCTTTATTATAATAATTATTTTTTGTCTATAATTATTAAAAGCTGTTATTAAATGCTAATGTAGTTAGGCGGCATAAATGTATAGTGGCCCTTCGTAATATGTGATTCAATAATATTCATAGTAAAAAGAGAATGGGAGAATGGTCGCCCTTAAGTTAGGCTAGATTGTAGTAGTGGTCTTTTTTGTTATATCAAGGTCCAGACACTGTTCGTACGTCAAATCTGCAGAATAAACTTAAAAGTAAAAATCTCAAACTGCTTGTAAACGAACAGCGTTCTTTTGAGAAGACGCGATTCCCTATGGCTTATCCTTATATGATAAGTTAAGGGCGCAAGTATTTTGACTATGTATATTCCCTATGGCCCTATGGCGATTCCCTATGGCTTATCCTTATATGATAAGTTAAGGGCGAAAGTATTTTGACTATGTATATTCAGGCAGCACTCTATTGATTGCTTTTAGTGGAATGAAGTGTTTTTTGATATAGCATATGTATGGCTGATTCTACATACTCTTCGTAGAATCTACAGTTTGCATCCATATATATGCCCAGTCTCGTAAAGTGGTATTTTAATTTACAATGCTCTGTTAAGATTTCTCTGCTGATTCTAAGTTTTTCTTTTGACACAGTCCATACAATTCTGATATCTCCGATTGCTAAAGGTACCAATAAGTGATTTGGATTGTGTTAATCGTGGTAAATTATCTCAGTAATGCTTTTTGTTGTAGTTCTCATTCATTTTTATGAGATAAAGGAGGGTACTGTGTTCTAATCTACAGAAAGGTTCTAGCCCCATCATTGGTGTTGCTGCTTCTTACTAAAATGTTAATGTTATTATTTATTATTAATCATGTTACCTAAAATCTATATATTTTATGAATAATGGGTAGAAAATGAAACTATAAACACGGGACTGATAATCGGGTTTTCTCATTCTAAAATTATATATGTTTATAGTAAAATGTAGTTATGCTGTCACTGTTTTCTTTTCTTTTCATTGGTTTTGTGATGTTTTCAATCTTGCCAGTAATTGTATTTGGTTCTGTCCCATTTATTATGATTAAACTCTGAATTTGAACTTCAATTTTTAATCTATTTTATACCTCAACTAATGATTTAAAAATACTTCAAACGTTTGAGATGCGAGACTGGAATTTCTGTTAAATATTAATCTGCAAATTGCAGTATTGATTCAATTACTTTCTTTATTTGTCTTTGTTTATTTATGAAATTTTTTTATATATATATATAATGTATATATATTATCTTATATATGTCTGTTCTATATTATTCTCTATTCTTAGATTAATATATTTTTTGTCTGCTTAATTTTCTTATCTTATAAATAAAATAAGATTAAATATTTGAAATAAATTGGTTTATTGGATCTTCACCAAACGTCGGCTACATCCATACATACAAACCAAATCAAACTCATCCAATATATACTTTTGTTTTGTAATTAAAAGCGAAATCCCAATCATGATTGCGGCGTCTACGAGTGCAGGGGCGTCAAATGTCAACAACTTTTTTTAATTTTATTTATTTTTTATGCAACATTTCTTGTTCTTTGTTTGTATAAAAGCTGAATTGATGTAGTTGTTTAATTTTTTATTGTAAACTTTCTTGCTTGTTCCGTTGATGCTGATGATGATGACGATCGACGATTGACGATCGACGATCGCATATTCAGTTATCTAAATTGTTGATTTATATTACTATCGAAAGCTTCTACTCAATACATGGTGTGAAATCGTAAGCAAAAAATTGACTTCATTCAGATATCTTTAAATATATTAATGTATGAATGTGTATGTATGTATATATTTACTAGCGCCTAACCTACTGAGACTGGTACAAGTAAGCGCCGTCTATACTATTTTTAAAGTTTAATGATAAGCAATAATTTTATTCTGCAATCAATTTCATTCTTAAACACATTTACTTGCACACAAATTTAATTGAACATAATTTTATAGGTGCTTTTTATTATAGACTATAATTACATTATCATAAAATTATTCAGACGCCTTTATAGTTAATCTTTTATATAGAAAAAAAAAGATGTTAGATGGAAAACAAATACTTTTCATTTTGTTTATGCGGTCACTATTTTTTTTTTTTTTTGTTTTGGTATCGGACCTAGGGGAAAAATCTTTAAAAGATGGCCCGTACCATTTGCATGCCCGATTCATGCACGACTCAAATTAAGTCACACATGCCTACGGACTAAAAAGTCCCCTCATTCTCAGCTCAAAATCCTGAAAATCCTTGCAGTACGACCAGTTAAGGTATTTCTTCACAGGGCATGTTATAAGAGCACTTAGCGTGCTTTCACTCCGATTGTGTACTAAGTATTTCGTCCGCTCTAACAGTATTTATTGTTCTAGAGATTATGTTCTTGTAAAAGCTCCATTCTTCGATGCTTGCCAACATCTGCATTACCATAGTAGAAGGGCTGGATTCACCAATTAGTGTCTCTAGATTTTGTCTAGTATCTACGAATCTTATACAGTCTCTAATAATATGGTCAGGACTCTCAATTTTATCTGGACAAAACCGGCAGTACGGGTTACTTGCTAGCCTAAACCGGTATAAGTATTCACGGAAGCAGCCATGCCCCGTAAGAAACTGTGTTAATTGAAATGCGGTCACTATTAGTATTTAGTTATTGTTGTGGCCCGCAAGAATCTATAAAACAGATAGATTAGGTTAGGTTGTATGGTCAGACTTGTATCCAAAGATCAATTGAACTCAAACACTGACTCGTTGTGAAACCACGGTTTAGTCTTTTTCGCATCTAGATTAGAAGTCAACGACGACAAGTTTCTAAACTTGACCAAATCCCTAAATTTGCAGGATGAGAGCAGGATCGAAGATTTTAAATCTTCTAGCCAATGATGCACACTTACAGTTGAGATCCAGACCTTGAAGATTTAAAATCTTTTTCTAGCCAATGATGGGCACTGACACATAAGGTTGAGACCTCGAAGATTTTAAATCTTTTTCTAGCCAATGATGGACACTAACCCATTAGGTGTAGACTACGATAAAAATCATTATAGAGTAGAGCCAGTCTAATAGCATATCTTCCTGGTATGCAGTGACCTGTCAGCACCAATACCGTAGTACTGAGCATGTTACGTTTTAGTTGAAGGAACTGAATGGTACGTTTCGGGCACAGTTGGGGCCAGGTTGATCTTCAAATCTTACAAAAGGGTTCATTTACTCACTGCTTTATAAGTTAATATGAAGGGAATTACAAAACCGAACACATGGGTTTAGCTGTGCAAAGGAAGAGGGTTATTTAGGAGTAAGAATGAATTAGTGAATGTGTCGGATTTGGGATTTAGTTATTAATCCAAATGAATATTAATCGACGCAAATTTATAGAATCGTTAGAACAACTTATTCAGTACTAAAATGCGCAATTATTTGAACCGATACTTACGGCATTTCTTCAACTTCTTGATTTAATTAAATAAAATTGTTCAAATAAAAATGTTTGTGTTGTTTTTAATTTATATTAAATGTCATAAACATTTTGTTCAAATTCAATTATTACTTAATTTTCTCTATTCACGATCTTACTAATGTTACTAGTTCCCATTGATACTCTCTCTACAGGTTGTTTCTTTATTAATTGGCACATACATATGTTAAGTTTTACTACATGCTAATGAATACCTCTTATCAAAAATTCTACAATTGAAATATTTTGATTTTGTTACTTTTTAGCTTTTTCATTATTCAGGTTAATATACATACATTATAGAATTTAGATGTGATATACATTAAGACTGAAAAGTTTTCGGAAATTCTCATTTAAAATTCGCGCGCTGTATATTTTTCGATATTTTAAGTTTATGTAGTTTGGCAGCCCTGTCCTTAATTACTATGCCAAAAATGAGCGCGATCTGTCAGACAGTTCGTTTACGGCAGCTGTTGAAACCAGTTCACCTCAGTAGTGCGTTGCGAAATGGCTTCGACGGGCGTACGACCGTCCTGAAAGGCTTTGTACCACTCATAAACTTGAGTTTTCGATAAAACTGATTCCCATAAGCCTTTTGTAGCATTCGCAACGATTCTGCACACGAAATTTCGTTCGAAACACAAAATTTGATGCAAACTCTTTGTTCAATATTTTTTTCCATTGTTTTTTTCGCAACGCACTACTGAGGTGAACTGGTTTCAACAGCTGCCGTAAACGAACTGTCTGACAGATCGCGCTCATTTTTGGCATAGTAATTGTCCTTAATTGCTGCCAAACTACATAAACTTAAAATATCGAAAAATATACAGCGCGCGAATTTTAAATGAGAATTTCCGAAAACTTTTCGGTCTTAATGTATGCAATATATGCCAATTTCGAAATGTACGCTTGAATGAGATTATATATGTTTGTATTATTGATATGCATATATGAAGAGTGATTCATATCAATAAATCATAGATATATCAGGAGATTCTGTAATCTTCATTTCAATAAATAAAATAAATTTTGAATTAAGAATACGTTAAGAGCCACATATGTATTTGCAAAGGTTTGACCCTTTGTGGTAATGTTGCAAAAATCCTGTCAAAAACTTCCTTGTATGTATGCTAAGTAACGTACTGATTATTGTCATATAATGGTTTCCATATAAGAGACTGCTTTTGAAAATATGCCTTAGTTAAAAACGATAAAAAAAACTTTAAAAACGATTTATATCAACATATGTCTCTTATAATTGATCGATTTATCGGAATTAATTTATTAAGCATATTATAACGAAATTACATCAAATATATGACTCGAAAAAGTTTCATCTGGGGAAGAACTGGTTCGGAAGTTATTGTCTCAATTTAACAGAATTCACGCACCTATAAAATACATATCAAAAACAAGCATAAACTAAAACAACCTCTAAAAGAAATTTTTCAAATTCTATATGGTTTCACCAATACTCAAAAAGAAAAACTTTAACATGATATAGAGGTTTTTCTCTCTCTCTCTCTCTCTCTCTCTCTCTCTCTATCTCTCTCTCTCTCTCTCTCTCTCTCTCTATCTCTCTCTCTCTCTCTGTTCTCTGATGAGTAACAATTTTTAAATTAACCAACCCGTGAATAAATAAAATGATCAAGTTCACTTGACAGAGAAACCGTACGAAAATTTAAACATATAAATGACCACAAGTAGTCAATCGGCATCGTCAGTGATAGTTTGGTTGACTGTAAGGATTGATAGTCGCTTACCGTTGACCTGAAGAGAAATGGAAATCCTTACCGCGAAACATTTTAGTAATAATAAAAAAGGAGTACATGCGTTATTAAGATACCATCCTATTATACAAAGCATGCGATGGCCAACAATGGATGAGAAAAAATGTCCCACATTTAAATACAAACTCACTGTTGTCTCTACGGTTATAATAAGCAAACCTTTCGACTTTTTGTTATGAAGTATTTTGCTGATCAGTACTAACAAATACCATTACTAAAACCACTAGATCTAAAAACCGCTAATACTAAAAACATCAGGAATAACATCTCTACTCGAAATCCTGTTAAGTCAATATTTAATTATAATTTACTGTAGTAGCCAATCCACTCATCTACCATTATTATAGTTCTATTAAAACTCATTCTGTTTTGTTTTAAGTGCGTAATCCAAAATAATAACTGAGTATAAGTTATTAAAGTTTCCTTTAGGTTCTTTTATTTACTTTAATAATAAATATTAAACAATTTATATTAAAAATTTTAAGACCACAAACTAAAGCGTTTAACCATTTTTAGGTAAAAGCAAAGAAGCCGAAGTGAAGCGGATAAATAAAGAGCTTGCGAACATACGTAGTAAATTTAAAGGAGACAAAACCCTTGATGGATATCAAAAGAAAAAATATGTTTGTAAATTGCTATTTATATTTCTACTGGGTCACGACATCGATTTTGGTCATATGGAGGCAGTCAATCTTCTTTCTTCGAATAAATATTCTGAGAAACAAATTGTTAGTCTTTGATTTCCTTTCTATACAATAAGAGGCTTTTAATTTATTGTATATTAATTTATATTTCAGGGCTATCTCTTCATTTCTGTACTAGTTAATACAAATAGCGATTTAATACGACTCATCATTCAATCGATCAAAAATGATTTGCAGTCCCGAAATCCAGTTCATGTTAATCTGGCATTGCAATGCATAGCAAATATCGGAAGTCGTGATATGGCTGAATCATTCTCAAACGAAATCCCTAAGTTATTGGTATCTGGGTAAGTGGCGAATTGACTTGATTTGAAAATTTGTAAAAAATTTAAATTACATTGTTTTTGTTATTAGCGAGACAATGGATGTTGTAAAACAATCTGCAGCGCTTTGTCTCTTACGGCTTTTCCGCTCAAGTCCCGATATTATACCTGGCGGTGAATGGACTTCAAGAATTATACATTTGCTCAATGATCAGCATATGGGGGTGGTCACGGCAGCCACATCACTTATTGATGCTTTAGTGAAACGCAATCCGGAAGAGTATAAGGGTTGTGTTAACTTAGCTGTATCACGTTTATCACGTATCGTCACTGCCAGCTATACCGATTTGCAAGATTATACATATTACTTTGTGCCAGCACCGTGGCTTTCAGTTAAATTGTTACGCTTATTACAGAATTATAATCCAGTAACTGAGGAGCCAGGAATTCGAGCACGACTTAATGAAACTTTGGAAACAATATTAAATAAGGCACAGGAACCGCCTAAAAGCAAGAAAGTACAACACTCAAATGCGAAAAATGCAGTTCTATTCGAAGCAATAAATTTAATTATACATAGCGATAGCGAACCAAATCTTTTGGTTCGTGCTTGTAATCAATTGGGACAGTTTCTGAGTAACCGTGAAACGAATTTGAGATATTTAGCTTTGGAATCTATGTGCCATTTAGCTACGTCAGAGTTTTCACACGAAGAGGTGAAAAAGCATCAGGAGGTCGTTATATTGTCAATGAAGGTAAGTCATTTTTTTATATTTTGTTTTATTATATTGAACAACTTTTTCTACTGCGCTATAAACTGCTATAGCTCACTTCACAAAAAATCAAGATTGATTATTAAAATAAAAGGTTAACTCATGCGAGGCTAACTAGTGTATGCAATTATTATATTGCCGTGTCATTTGTCTACCTGATGCATCTTTTTGTTAATTATGGTTTCAAGTACGAGCGAATCTACGTCCCAGAACCACTTGTCAATTTTGACGTCCAAGTACCGCTCACTAACCCTAATCTCTACACAATCTCTGCGGGCTACAACAACAATAACTTGTCAGTTGTCGCTTTTATAATCAATGTTATTTAGGCTAATGTTAGCCAGATAGAAAAATGGCTAAGTTTTCAAATAAAAACCTTCAACATTAAAGTAAATTTTCCAAATTTGACATGCAGCATAGTCAAGATTTAATCAAAATACCTGTCTTTAATAAATGTTTAAAATTATTATTCTTAATTATAAAATCCACATTTGCCGTTTATCCAAGCGAAGATATTCCCGGTCTACGTCCCGAAGCCACTCGTCTTAACGACGACTAAGTATGGTTTACCATCCTTCAAAGGGATTTTAAAAGATTCCAACGGATTACAACAGCAACATCATATCGAGTCGTTTTGACATAATTTAAGTTTTTTACATTCCTATATTTTTGTTGAAAACTATAAAAACTATATATCTGAATTATTTTGTAGATTTTGGACTAGTTAAATTTCTTTTGCTTAACAAATGTTAAAGATTAAAATTAAATTTTATTATAGATGGAGAAGGATGTGTCTGTTCGTCAGATGGCTGTTGATTTACTTTACGCAATGTGTGATCGTAGCAACGCCGAAGAAATTGTACAGGAAATGCTTAACTATTTGGAGACCGCTGATTATTCTATACGCGAAGAAATGGTACTTAAAGTAGCTATTTTGGCAGAAAAATACGCAACCGATTACACTTGGTATGATTTTTATCAAATTACAATTTAAGTAAATAAAATTACAGATAAAAATAATATACTTTACTTTTAGGTATGTTGATGTTATACTCAATTTAATAAGAATCGCTGGAGATTATGTTTCCGAAGAGGTTTGGTATCGTGTAATACAAATTGTTATTAATCGAGAGGAGGTGCAGGGATATGCTGCAAAAACTGTATTTGAAGCATTGCAAGCACCAGCTTGTCATGAAAATATGGTAAAAGTTGGTGGCTATATTTTAGGTGAATTTGGCAATCTCATTGCTGGCGATTCTCGATCTGCACCGTTAGTTCAGTTTAAGCTATTACATTCGAAATATCATCTTTGTTCACCCATGACTCGGGCTCTTCTACTATCCACTTACATAAAGTTTATAAATCTTTTCCCCGAAATACGCACCAATATTCAAGAAGTTTTCCGTCAGCATAGCAATTTGCGTTCAGCAGATGCTGAACTTCAACAACGAGCTAGCGAATATTTACAATTAAGTATTGTGGCTTCTACTGATGTTTTGGCTACCGTATTGGAAGAAATGCCTTCGTTTCCAGAAAGAGAAAGCTCTATTTTGGCCGTTCTTAAGAAGAAGAAACCCGGTCGTGTGCCCGAGAATGAAATACGTGAATCAAAGAGTCCGGCTCCAGCTATATTAACCCAAAATAATACTCATGCTAACCACAAGTAAGATTATATATATAAAGATAAAATGTTGTGTTTTTTTTTAATTATTTTTCTTCTTTCTCAGAGTCAATAGTAACGCTAACACAGATCTTCTTGGTTTAAGCACTCCACCATCTAATACAGGTTTAAATAATTCTACAAATAGTGGCACATTAATTGATGTTCTAGGCGATATGTACAGCAACAATAACACTGCTGTGTATAATTCGAAAAAGTTCCTGTTTAAAAATAATGGAGTTCTTTTTGAAAATGAATTAATACAAATCGGAGTAAAAAGCGAATTTCGACTGAATCTGGGACGTCTAGGTCTATTTTATGGCAACAAAACTCAAATACCACTGACGGTTAGTTTATCATATGTTCCTTACATTTTTGTACACATATTAAAATGATTAAATTATTTCGAGTTTAGAATTTCACACCTATTTTGCAATGGGATGCAGAAAATGCGCTTAAGTTAAATGTTCAAATGAAATCGGTTGAGCCAACACTTGAAGCTGGTGCACAAATACAACAATTACTTACAGCCGAGTGTATTGAGGATTACTCAGATGCACCGACAATTGAAGTTAATTTTCGATATAATGGTGTACCCAAGAAATTTAGCATTAAATTGCCGCTGACCGTAAATAAATTCTTCGAACCAACAGAAATGAATGCCGAATCATTCTTTGCGCGATGGAAGAATTTAGGAGGGTAAATAAATATCAATATTTATGAAGTAAATTACTCGAATCCATTTTATTAGTTAAGAATTAATCCTATTTGAAAATATTTTAAAGAAATACCAAATCAATTTAGGATTTGAATAGGATAAGAAGAACTATATTCGAAATTTACTTGTTGATTGTACAGTTAAAGTTATAAACATAATTTTTTCATATATGGTATCGTGTTTATTTTTTGTAAAGTTATTTTTTTTTGTGTCTGATGACGAAAAGAAGCTATTTAAAACTTAGAAAAGTTCAAACCGAAATGAAAAGACAATAACAAAAATTTTAGTTAATTTATTTTTTATTAATATATTTGGCTGTCCATACAACGATGTTTTGAGTATTGCCATAACTCGATACTCATCCTCATCATCTCAGGGAATATTCGAATTTTTTTTATTAGTTTATAGTCCGTATATAATTTATTTGGACTGCAAACAAATTAAATATTCCATAAGAGTTAGTTTCTAGTTTAGTACAATGATAATTTCACCTTTAGTGTAATATTTATATATGTTAACAAATATTAATATTATTTTAATATTATTAAAATATATAAAAATTTTTTATTGCAGTGAACAACAAAAAGCACAAAAAGTATTTAAAGCGTTACAACCACTCGATCTGTCTGGTGCTCGAAATAAATTGATGGGCTTTGGAATGCAATTACTTGACAATGTTGATCCAAATCCCGATAATATGGTTTGTGCTGGAATAATACATACTCAAACGCAACAGGTGGGATGCTTAATGAGACTAGAGCCGAATAAACAAGCGCAAGTAAGGATTAATAGATAATTTATTTAAATTAATTTAATATGTATTAAATAAAAATTAATTAAAATTATCTTCTTTTCAGATGTTCCGTTTAACAATTCGGGCAAGCAAAGAGACCGTAACACGTGAAGTTTGCGATTTACTCTCAGACCAATTTTAAAGACGAAATAAATTGAGTAAATTAATATTATTATTATAAAAGTGTATTGTCCTACAATAAACACATTATTTGTGCTTTAATGAATATATTCGTTGTTAAGCTACAAAATTGAATTGAAATTCTTGGCACAATTCTGTCACTGCATGATGCATTGTCTCGTAAATGACACACAGCATCCATTTGCAAAATCAAATATCATCAAATTTTACTCTGTTTCTCGATCGTTTATGAAAATGAAAACTTAGACAAATATCAATTGCAAATATACATATTTATATATGTATTTATATATGTATTTACGTATGTATTTATATATGTATTTATATATAATATTTATATATGTATTTATTTATATTTATAAATGTATATTTATAAATACTTATATATGTATTTATATATCGATATATATACTATATATATATAAATATACCTATAAATGTCTTTCCACAGCCTTTTCTTATTTATTCTCTTTATTAAAGAATTTTTTTTTTATTCGTTTAAATCGCAAGACTTTGCATTGTATTTCAAACTGTAAGTAAGATTTTTAATTGTACATTTTAAAACTAAATGATATCAATTTCACAAAGAACAAAGAACAAAGTAACAAACGTGTGTACAAACACAAAATATTCCACTAACAATAAATAGCAATATTAATTGAATTCTTATAATAAATTTAATGTAAAACTATTATATTTTTAAGCTCAAAGGATAGCTTCGTTTAATACAACAACAGCAACATATATTATAATTATAAATTATATTTTATGTTAATGTTTGTTTATTAACAAAAAAAAAAAAAATAATAACATATAAATATATATTAATATTATACTTTAAAAAGGTTTACAAATTTTTACATATATGTATATTTATATATATATATAAATAAATATATATATAATTAAAAATAATTAAAGATGCAAACAACAAATCATTAAATCATGCAAGTACATATTATACTTAGTATAAAAGTCGTTGTAGTAAAAATAAAAATAAAAATAAAAATTTGTTTATTAAATAATATAAATCGTTATGTTTAAAAATAATTAAAATTAAAAATAACAACACTATTTAACATTATGTATTATTCAAAAATATATATTTAAAGGAGAAATTAAATAAAAATCTCATTATATTAGACAAATAATCAACTTAAAAAGATAAAAATTGTTGCAATTTTATTAAAATGAATAAAATACAAATTAAATTGAAAAGAAATCATTTGGATATATTTTCTGTTCTGTTTAACTAACTGTGTGGATATTAGAAATTGTATAAATACTTTCCTACTCTGGTTGTTTTTCAGCTATTTTTTTTTAATAGTTAAATTTTATAGTAAATTTAAAGTTATGTGCATTATTTGCAAAATTGTTATATATAGTTATATCTTTTTTAAATTTAAATTGTAATATTTAACCGCCATACATATAAAATAAACGTCAAAATAGATTCGAATTAAAGTAAAGTTGTAAAAAAATCTAAACTTTTATTTTACAGTAATATGCATGCAATCTTAACATAAACAATTTGTAATTTATGGCATAGTAAATTGGATTTTAGATTTTAATGCTAGACATTTATATAGTTAGAAGTTGACGTCTACATTAGTTTAAATATATATATATTTTTTTCACAAATAAGATATTACAACAACTGAGAATTGAATAATAATTAATAATAACGTAAACTTGTCATTGAAACTACACTTTTACGTTATTTTTTTTTTTACCTTTTAAATGTTATTATTTGATAAAGGCTTTATATAGAGATTTGCGCTTATTAATTCCGTTGTATGTTTACTTTTTTTACGCATTTATCAAAAATATAATAATTGACATATGCTCATAATAGAAAATCTCAAGATTAATTTATGATAACATATGATAGGTGTTCACAGTCTTAAGTAACGAGTTCGGTAACCGAGTAACTGCTTAAATAGATAAGTAACTGCTTAAATAGATAACAGTGTAGAATGCTTTCTCACGATTTGCAAAGAGAAATTGCAAACGTTTTCAAAAATTAAATCGTATAAGAAAATTAAAATATATATGAAGAGCACAACTAATGAATGAGCGCAGATGAAGAAAAAATATTGCTACACTTTCATTAAAAAAGGCATTCAAATTAAAATGCTTATATGAAAATACAAAGTGTATAAATAAAGCGGTATTTAATTGTAAAATTTGCTTTTAAAAAAACAGTAAGTTCTAATTAAGACTTTTATCGCACGCAACGTTACTATCTGTGCCCGTAGTAACATATTAATGGTGCAGAGCAGCACTAAAAAAAACGCTTGTTCGTCAAATATGTTTGATTGTTGCTTACCAGTCTGTACTGTTTTATTTCGCGTTAATGACAACCACAAAGCGCAATCGTAATGGCATCCACAGTTCCACAATGTTCAATGATGTTGTTGTTGTTGTTGTAGCCCGCCGGGATCTGAAAAGCAGATAACATGTGAGGATTACAAGACGAATACATGGGTAGAGGAGTGAATGGTTGGGAATAGAGTTAAGGAGATGATGGGAAAGAGAGAGAGAGAGAGAGAGAGAGAGGGAGGACATAATTGAAATCAACCAGGGTCCAGCCAATGTTCCATCAGTGTTCAATTAATCTTTGTCATCTGCGCGTGCTGTTACTATGTTATTTGCTTACCGAACTCCTCGTTACTCAAGATTGTGATTACAACTATTGTTCTTTGGTTAAATTACATTATATTATAATATTATACTATAATTATATTAGTTTATTTTAAATATATATACAATTTTTGCTACACATATTTATTTGTATGATTTATTGAAATAAACCAAAAAAAGAAAAATGAACAAATATAATTTACACGTAATTACGTATTATGTAAAAAATAACAAAATGTAGTTAATTTAATTTTGCATATAAATTAGGTTAATTAACTTAAAATAACCCACATAAATGCCATAGACATTAAACATACATACATACATATACAATAAAAGTGCTATGTAAAGTTCTTAGCTGCGTAATGAAATTGCATCAAATTTTTTTCAAATTTATTATTTTTAATTAAAAATTAAGTATTAACATAGAAAAATATCAGAAGTTTAACAATATATATATTCTTAAACTTCTATTCTTTCGATTACTGATATTCACATATCCAAATATATGTCGTCCTTAACAGCCATTGTAAAGCGTACTTCTATTCTTTTAAATTGTGTAACTTTTTCATATCAAAATATTTGAAGATCTGTTAAGATATATATAAAATTCTTCTTTGCCTACATATTGATAGTAACGTATTAAGCGAGCGATAGTCATCCTTGACATTTTATTAATTTTATTCCTTAAGTCTGGTACTAAACATCAATTTCGCACGAAAAATTGAAACTCCATAAAACTTCACATAAAAAATATGTTCCACAAATTTGTCATTGTAGAAAACATTATATATATATAAAAAATATGTTCCACAAAATTAGAACATTGTAGAAAACATATTTTATATATAAAAAATATGTTCCACAAAATTGAAATATTGTAGAAAACATTTTATATATATAAAGAATATGTTTCACAAAATTGGAATATTTTAGAAAACATTTTTTATATATAAAAAATATTTTCCACAAAATTGGAATATTGTAGAAAACATTTTATATATATATAAAAAATAAGTTCCACAAAATTAGAACATTGTAGAAAACATTTTATGTATATATAAAAAATATGTTCCAAAAAACAGGAACATTGTAGAAAACATTTTTTATATATAAAAAATATGTTCCACAAAATTGAAATATTGTAGAAAACATTTTATATATATATATACATATAAAATATGTTCCACAAAACTGGAACATTGTAGAAAACATTTGTTTTATATGTATAAAAAATATATTCCACAAAATTAGAACATTGTTGAAAACATTTTTTATATATAAAAAATATGTTCCACAAAATTGGAATATTGTAGAAACGTTTCATATATATATAAAAACATGTTCCGTAAAATTCGAATATTGTAGAAAATATTTTCGATATAGAGTTTCAATTTTTTGTGCGAAATGGATTTTTAGTACTAGGCTTTATGGAACAAAGTTATTGTATAGTGTAACGTTGCCTCTAATATATCGTCAAAGTACAGTAATAATAAAAAAAAACAAAAACTCAATTACTTCAAATAGTTCACTTACGATCATACGAAATCTTTACTGCAGTTTTGTTATGCATAACAATATAATATACAATATATAAATGTTTGTTATAATATTTTGACTATTTTTAAATTAATACAATAAATAGAAACGATTAAGTACATAATATGTATGTAATACAAATTCCTTTGTGGTTTGTATTGAAATAGCGATATAAAAAATTATATTATTGTATACATAAGTTATTGTATATTAAATGCATAAAACATATATTAATAAAATTTAAAATGGAAATATTAATTGAGAAAATACTTTTTTATAGAATAAAAAGTGGTTATTAAAAGACTGAAGTCTTTTGGGTTATTAAAAGATTACAATTATCTTAAGGATAAATTGCTAAAAAGCTAAGAATGGGGAAAGCAAAAGACACACAGCTATAAAAGATTAAGTAACTAGTCAGGCCCGAAGTCGGAAGTTTATTTCGCGGGGTCTTACAGATCATATTAGTAATTTGGAAAAACCTTTAAGCTAATAAAACATTCATGGGACATTAATAATGAAAATATATTATATACATATGTTTAAATATAGACCCTTGATTACATTTCGGAGGGACTCCAGCCTGTTGTTGTTGTTGTAACCCGCCGAGATCTATTTGTGTTGTCCCTTTTGGGAGTGTTGAACGGCACTTGGCCCTCTGAATAGACTAAAGGCTCCGGAACGTAGACCCGGCTTCAGTTCTTGGAACCGACTTCAGCCCGTCGCACATAACTGATGATGAGTTTTTATTTCTTAATGCCCTTAGTTAAAATTTATATGAGCAGGTTTTAGAGGTCTATTATGAGAAAATGGTAAGTTTATTACTTAAAAAAACTTATTTGCGAAAATTTTCTTGAGATAAAAAAGAATTGTTGTATCAGAAATAAACAAAAAAAAAATATATATAACAATTTAGAAAAAATGAGTTCGGGAAAAACCATTTAAAAAAAAACGAACTCTGAATTCACATAAGTCATTCTACTCGAGATAATAATGATTAAAATTAAATGATATTTATCGGACTAAAAAACTAAAACTTAAGACACCAGACTTATATTCTCTTCTGCAAAAACTGGGCGCAAAATAGTTTCAAGTTTTTAAAATATTGCTCATATTATTTTCTTAGACCATAAGAATCCGTGCTAACTTTCGGCTAGAGCTTCCTCTTATTGTAGCCCATTATCATCATCATCCGTAGCTATACAATCCATGTAGGGTCTAAGCTTGTTTTACGATATTTCTCTATTAAAAATTTACTCATCGTTTCTTTTTTGGTATTTTATGGTGTTAAATATGTCTGCTCACCGGATTCATGTTGCTAATGAATCCGTAATGCTATTAATAATTTTTAAAGTTAAATTTATGTTTCAACTAGCAATATTTTATGGTCCTATTGAAGGTCTAATTGAGTTCCGTTTATCTCTGCCACAATATCTTCCATCTACTGAAGTCTACATATTGAAGAACACATGTTCAATATAATTGACAATCACAATAATCTAACACTCAGCAACCTAGAAATACAGCAAAATCTGATAAACACAGGCAGATACAAACACATCAGATCCGTCATATTATAAAGCCCTGTATTTAGTTATTCTTAGTGGGACTTAAAACTGTACACAGATATAATAGAGTTAAGGTGATAAATCACCAACTCAGACATCTGCATATCAACACGTTTATGGAAAATATATTGTTTTGAAATTCTTCTTGTTCATTTTGTCCACTTTTAGTGCAGCTAACTAGCATTTTTTTTTCATTTTTGGTGCTGTTTTGTTCATATTTGGAGTTGTTAACTATTATATTTGCTGTTGTTGTTGTAACTCGCTGGGACCTGCATGTAAAGTTCCTTTGAGAGGTGTTAAATGGCATTTGGTCGTTTTTGGCGACAAGTGATTCCGGACGTAGTCCTGACCATTCTTGAAATCATTATTTTTGCTTATTTTTGGTGCATCTAACTAGTAGTTTTGGTGTGGTTTTGTTATTTTTAGTGTTGTTAGCTAGCATTTTTATTCGTTTTTGTTTTTGTCTTTTTTTATGTGTTAATCGTTTTTAATTGTTTTTGATTGTTGCCCGTTTTTGGTGCTGTTTGTAAGCACTTTGAATTTTGCTTAAACATATATGTTATATTGACTGCTTGAATAAATAGATTATGGGTTTATTTGCGATTGCTATAAATTTAAATCAACAGGGCAATTAAAATATATTGCGACTTTTTGAATTTATAACTTAATTACTTAAGTAAAAATAATGTTGAAGATTTCACTATAATATTTTTATTATTGCATTTATTAATATTATAATTATAAATGTCATAAGAATATAGTATTAAGTATTTTAGATGATCTTATAATTATGATTTCATTGTAATCACTTTATTTTATTAACAATTTTATATTATTTTTTCTTGCCGTCTATTTCAATAAATTTGAAAAATATTTTAATTGAGAATTAATTTTCCAATTATTTTTTGAACTCTTCTCATTATTTTTTCTTGCAATCTACTTAAAAAAATTTGATTATTTCAAATAAAATTTATTTTTCCAATTATTTTTCGAACTCTGCCATAACTGAACATCAGTAAATATAAAATATTACTATTGAACTCTACCATTGTGTAGGTAGTTAATATGTTGAATAGTTAAATAATTAAAAAAAAAAGTGGAAAAATAATTCATTTAAGTTATTTTCTGTAGATATGAATAGCAAGAAAATTGTTTGTAAGACACAATTTAAAAATATAGAAACAATTAATATATTAAAGAAATATAAAAACAATTAAATTTTTAGAAGTTTTAGTCTAGCGTTTATATTTACAGAACTTAATTCTGTGATTAAATATTTTAATGAGTATGGAATTTCAACGTAGCCCAAATTTTTTCCATTATTGCATAGCCTACATGTACCAGGTACTGACTGTAGTTTGCCAATGCTGTTGCGTTTGAATATTTTTTCAAGCGGTGCTAAAATACTGCCACAGTCATAACAAATGAGCGCATCTGTTTTATCAGAGTTATAAAATAGACGATCTTGCAATAAATATGCAGCGCCATGTGATATTAGTGCATCACGTTCCATCTCTCCGAAACGTACACCACCACCACGTTTTCGACCTTTGATTGGTTGTTGAGTTATTGTATCAATGGGACCTGTGGAACGTACTTGCCATTTGTCGAACACCATATGACGTAAACGTTGGTAATGCACCACACCGAAGAAAATGTCTGCTGCTATTTCTCGACCGTCAATTCCCGAATATAAACGCTCGGTGCCGTAATAATTATAGCCTCCTGCTTCGAGCAGTTTGCCAAAATAGTCAATTGCAGTACTGTTTTCGGAGAAAGTAAATGGAGTAGCGTCGTGTACTAGACCATGTATAGCAGCACTTTTTCCTGCCATTGTTTCAATCATCATAGCAATTGTCATACGAGATGGAAAACCGTGAGGATTGAAAACAATATCAGGTATGAGTCCTGTTTCTGTAAACGGCAAGTCCGCAGCTGGACACTTTTGTGACAAAATGCCCTTTTGACCAGCACGTGAAGCAAATTTGTCACCTATGGTAGGCGGTCGTGGTACTCTTAATGTAATGCAAATCATGCGCGGTGAATTCGCTTTATAGCTTCCACAGAAGCGTACACTATCCACAATGCTGTCTTCGCTTTCATCGAACTTTTTAACTTTATATGTGGAGTCATTAACATCGAAATAACTATAAAATTTAGATAATATAATATTTAGAAGAACAGAACAGATTGGAAGCATACCAATATAATGGGCATCCAGTAGTTAAAAGTGAACCGGGCTGTGGAAGGCCGTCATTATCAAGATACTTTAACAATTCTGGCATCTCCGGACTGCGTGCAAAATAGCTACCATCGCTTAATTCAATAAATTTCGATTTATAAATACTGCCGTAGGCAAAGCCCCGTTCGTATGATGCTTTATTTATAATCATGGCATCTTCCATGTCATAACCAGTGTACGATATAACAGCAACAATCGCGTTTGTACCCATAGCAAAGTCGTCAAGTCTTATGTTATCATGGTGAACTGGTCGAAATAAAGGTGTTGTAGGTGTTTGCAGTCGATAAAGTTTATTTGCAGCTTGCTTTGGCCAATTCAAACAAGGAGTACCCATCGTCTGTTTACCCATCTGACATTGATACATATTTCTAAAATAAATCTCAATAAAAACAAATTGTTTTAATATGCATTTCATACAAACCTTGGAGATTGGTTATAATCTGGCATTGGTATTAAATTAGCCAAATTACTTAGAAAATCAGTTTTTGATAATTCTATGTGAGTTGTAAAATTAGGATAGACTTCTTTTCCGTCAATAGCAATTTCCATATATACCTGTTCTAATGAACCAATGTACTCGACCTTGTTTAAAGCTAAATTTCTCACAGGACGCATCATTCGCGCTGGACTAACAAACAAAAACAAACCAGGAAATTGACCATTTTTCTTATATGGTATGAATGCTATTTCCAACATTTCTGGTAATTGTCCATTGATTTTTAAAGCACGTAATTGGTTAGTAATTTTTTCAGCATCCACTATGCGTATATAACCCAAATGTTTGCCTTCTAGGAACACTACATACAGTTTCGAGGGATCAGGTAAAAAATCGGAATCCAACGGGAACATGCCATTATCAAATAGTGCTGCTGGTATAGCCTTAAATTGTATTGTTAAAATAAATATTACATTCTTTTTAAATAGCGTTTTCATAATACTTCTACGAGTTCTTGTTTCGGTAAAGTGGATATTTTGCACGAAACGGTTAAATGATTCAAAAGACCACAAGGCGTACCATCAGGAGTATGTACTGGACAAATGAAACCCCAAGCATCAGGCAACAATTGACGAGCTTCGGTTGTGCGCATTGTTGTAAAAAATGAACCACGATGGACTGCACGAAAATGAGACATATACCTCATTCTGTTGATATTTTCAGCCATCACCACTAAGCCAGTATTTTGCATTAATCCTAATCCAGAGCGAGATGGAGCATTACCTGTAGCAAGAAATGATTCCATTGATCTCGATATTTTACCCGCAAAGCGAACACAATTTTTTAGAAGTGGTGCAGAAAGTAAAGCATCTGGGGTTTCGAGCTTTTTTAGCAAATACCTTTTACAATTTTGAAGCCAAATATCTACACGGTCCATCAAGAACTTTTGGTAGAGGTGACCTTAATAGAATATCTTTTTATTATTAATAAGACAATATTAAACATATTATACTAAAATCGTACCTGATAGCAATACTTCTTGCATCATAACAGAGTCAACATTTTCAACTTTGTTTTTTTGTTGCGCGCATTGAAATAATTTTTGTATCATAAAAACCAACAAATCGAATTTTTCTCTGTGGGTACTCAAGTGTATTAAGATGCGCTCATTCAGTATGTAGTCGGTTACTTCAGCATCACTTTTCCATGACGGCACTTCATAAAACTTGGACCGAAAAACATTTCCTAAGTAATTTTTACAGTCCATATGTGTGTGAAAGCCTTCTTCATGTACCTGTTGTATCATTCTTTGCACACAGGCTAAATAAAATTCATCTTTTTCATATCCAAGTATTAATCGTTTATATATTTCATGATCTGTAAAGTTTACAAGACATTTCAAAATGAGGCAAACTGGTACGTATGACATAGTTTTCATTTGCGAAAACATTAATTTTGCAGTGCCATCATTTAAATAGTGCAGGACATTGTTAAATGAAACTTCATCAGATCGTACACTACGTATTAGTACACCGATATCGCTGAATTTTACGCCTCGTTCTTTCCAACTTGAACGCTTAATTGTTATTGGATAGTTTCGACGGGTCATTAGCAGCATCCTGATAATTTTTTCATTGCCCTTAATTATAAAAATACCTCCCCATTCTGAATCGTGTTCTCCCTTTTCAATCATTTGTTTAGGCGTTAAATTGTGGAGGTGACAAGCCCTACTTTTTAACATAATTGGCACTTCTCCTAGTTCTACATCGACTGGAGCTTTTTCAATTCCATTCACACTCCATCCTAGTACGGCGGTGCACATGCCAACATATGATTCATGCCTCTGGCGTGCTTCAGTCGGATATATGTTTCGATTTTTAACATCGATTACATTTAAGGGCACATGCGGTCGATCTATACGTACATTTTTGATATATAAATTAACATATTCTCCAGCTGGAGTATTGAATTCCAACGGTGTCATATATTTAGCAGAATCCAAGAGACCCTGTTCAAGCATTTGGTCAAATGAGTCCAGATGTGGTGCGCCTAAATTTAAAAGGTGCTAAGACAAAAACTTCTGAATGTTTGATTTGAAAACATTGGCGCTTTACTTACTTCATTTAATTGGGTGGGAACTTCTCTGAATTCTGGACGTGAATTCGTCAACTCTGGAACCTGCTTCATTTTATTAACTAATATTATATTAATATGGTACAGACACAAATTCAAACAATAACTTAATATTAAATAACAACCGCACTTTCCTGATAACAAATGAGTGAGGGAAATGTCAAAATCGAAACTGCACGTGCTTGAATTCAGCGAGATATGCATTTATTTATGTAATGGACGTAATAGTAAACAAACGGCTGTTAGGTGAGCAACTGTCATGCTAAACTAATTTGTTTAAAAATATATGATTCCATAATTCTTTTTCAGTAATTTTAAATAAAACTTAATAAAATCTAAAAATTAAAATTGCCGTTTTGATTCTGAACAAGTTTCATTGGTTAAGCATACAATGCTGTTGGAAATGTAATTTAACAGCTGACTGTCAGTCAAGACAGAAGCAACAACAATATTTTAAAGAATTATAGGGTTGTGGTATAATCATTGCAAAATCATACTTTAGATTATATTAGGTCGGTTCCACGAGCTACTTGTAGTAACTTCGAATAACACTGTGTATACGCAAGTGCGTTTCATTAGCAAATTTTCTAGTAATAAGAGCTTCTGAAAAAGCGTAACATCCTGTCGAAATTTTAAAATACTACACAGTCTTTACTTGTATATTTTATTTCAAGTAAAATTTGTGCTGATGTGTAAATCAGCTGTTTTGGTATGAATTTTTGTATTGCTTATTTGCGTTGCACTGGTGTTCTCATCAGGCTTTACACAAAGCTGTTCCATGAAAATGTGTGTAAAGAGCGTAATTTGGTACTTTATTTGTGTTACGCTCTCAGTTTGGTCTTTACTTGTGTTTTACTTGAGTTTTACTACGAGTAGCTCGTGGAATAGACCTATTATATATTATAGATTTATAAAAGATGTGTTTTATCGTGATAAGTGTAAGCCTGTTTTTGTAATTCAAAAGCTTGTAATACTTATTTGCAAATGCAATAATGTAAAGCCATTTGCACTGATGTTTTACTAATAGCACATTTACACTGTCTCATATAGGCACTTCCTCAATTATATTAATGAGAAAACGCTCTCCATTATAATGAGCTCATTTAGGCTGCGGTTACATTGCATGCCAGTTTCGTCTTGCGTGTTCGTACGAATAAATCGTAATCATATGATAGTATGACAGTACGATATCATATATGAGTGGTAATAGTTGCTGAGAATTATTCCCGCGACATGTTTCTTTCTCATGCGAACATTTGTTTAAACAAAATATTTTCAAACAAATTTTGAAACAAAATATTCGCACGGAAAAACATACGCACGAACACGCAAGACAATATTCGTATGTAATGCAACCGCAGCCTTATCCAGCTGATAGAACTTTTATAAACTTCACTTAATAATACATCATATAAAAATATTAAATGTGTGATTGATATATTAAGTCATTTATATACATTTTTTATATCAATTACATATTTAATTAATAAAAAAAAAAAATTTATTACATACTAACTTCCTCAGTGCCTTTGTTTTAAGCTCAGCTGTTGTTTGTTTACATTTCACAAATGAAATATATGGCAAATATTTCAACTTTTGGTAATTTCCCTTATGGGAAATTTATTTTTAAGGGTTGCGTTCAACAATTTTCGCCTTAAATGAGCTGATATTTTGTTAATGAGTTCAGTTATATGAAAGATTTTTGTATGGTAAATCATCCTTCTTATTGGTTATAATGAGCAAACCCGCCTAAATGAGACAACGTGAATGTGCTGTAAGACTAATACATTTATAAGAGCATTATAATTACATATAATAAAAAAACCATTTACTTAAAATCTTTAAAAATGTCCTTATTAAAGTGAAATACGAAATTAATGGATCGATCTATTGTACAAACTTTATTAGCCTTTTACCGAAAAGCACAGCTGATAGCAGTCACAGAAGAATATCTTCTTTGCTGGTTAGTTTAGGATTGTTATTTGGTTTAGGTTAAACATTAAATTGCATGATACAAGCACATAATAACTTTTTTATCAAGGTGAATACAAAAATAAATGATGCCAAGTGTCACAGTGTCCGATGAAAGTGTTGGAAGCAAAAAACGAGCTCAAAAGCTTGTCCAAATTTTATATATATTTAATTATTTAATTTTTATTTTGTAATATGTTGTTCTGCAACCATCGTCATTTTTCTTTAGTGTGAGTATTGATATATGTATTTTACTGGTACTTAAATATATAATACTGTTACAGTGTTATGACATGAAAGATAGCTATGATAGAGAGGATATATTCATTGCTTTGCATTGTATATTTGAAGTTTTATCCAAATATTGAAGAAGTGGACATCTCAATATGATCTAATGTATCTGATGTCCACTGATCTGATGCAATATGATCAATTTGATTTAATATATCTTAAAACCAATTAGCGTGTACTCAGCGTGCAAGTGCGTTTTTTTTTTGCCGCAAGTGTGCACCGTGCCTAAATTGATCAATAAAATATATAATATAAATTAAAAAAAAAATATATAAATATATGTATATAATAGTAAATTTACATTATTTTCACATTTTAATTGTGCAAGAAGCGGAAATACTAACGATATTAAATTATTTTTAATATTCAGTACATGTTTTATTCATACAATTGAGATACATTCTGAATACTTAGAAGTCAACAAGAACTACCTTTCAATCCTTTTCATGGTGGGATATAGTGAGGTTGATAATAATAACATATACCATATATTTATGTTAAATAAGAATTTCGATTTATAATTAATTTAATTTTTATTTATTTAATTTATTATAAATAATACATACAAATATGTATACATTAATTAGAGAGGCTGAAGTATTTATACACCCAACTGGATGGACAGACATCCAGTGGGCATTAAGGATGTTAGTAAAGGTTTAAGATAAGATTGGGAAAGATTTGAACTTTAAAAGTTTAGTTTATAATTTGAAAACAATTTATCAAATCATCAATTTCAGAAGTTACTCGATTGGGACTTTATTAAATAGACCCACAATAAAAGCCTCAATATATAATAGACTTGATTTGAAACTTTATAAATAGCTTTATTAAGGCAATTTATATCTGTAGGAAATATGCTGCGAATGCAGGTTTTGAAATTATTGTCTCTTAACGTAATGTTAAATAATGGGAAAACATCGTTTTAATATATATGAAGCAGGAAGATGAGTCTAATGCTCGGTATATACCTTAAAAGACTAATCAGATATCTTTATCCTTGCCTCAATATTTTATGCTTTATGAAAATGAAACTCTTAATAATTCGTTTTTACTTTGAGTAAAGAGCAAAAACTTTACTTTTCTATTTCGTCGGTTTAATGATATTAGAGAATATAATAGGTAGAGTGCTTTGTTAGATTTTATTAGCACATATAAATATAATTTTGGTTATTGGAGCAAAAGACTATCTCTTGCGAATGTATTGTTACAACTCCAAAGATTTCACAACATAGTCAAATGATCAAAAATGATACATAGGTACATATATCATATCACGCGATATGAACTATTACTAAAAGCTTCTCTTACGTTTATCAAGGAGTTCATAAATTATTGAAAAATACAATGAAGAGCTAGTTATATATGTATATTCAGAAGTTTCCCTGAATGTGACTATCGAAGATAGTCGAAATATTGAAAAAATATTTTAATAAAATAAAAACTGTTTTTAAATAAAAATAATAAATTATAGTCTTTTTATTTCTATTTAAATTGACCAATTAGTCCGCTAATAAATTATTATGTATATTCTATATATATTTCTTATATATTTATATTGATCTAGGCAATCTATATTCGGTGATTGAGCTAATCGATTAAGTCGTTGCAGAGTTATTCTATGTAAGTAAATTAAGTCGAAGATTGAAAAAAATTGAGTGATTGACATAGGTCTTGAGGTAGTTGTAACACGATTCAAGGACTCATCTTATCAACCACTTCTGCATAGTTTTAATGGCGAACCTTATAAGTTCCATTAGGTTCGTTCTAAAAATTCTTTAAACTAGAAATTAGCTACACAAAATAATGATAGTACTCCATTATTTATTTCATGCTCTTATTCCGTCAAATTAAGATACCATTGAGTTTACGGCACTTGAGTTACCACTAGACGCACTATATATTGAACTCTTTGTTTAGAGAATGTTTGTTTTTGGTAGTATACTCTTAATTTATAAAATGTTTAAAGGATGGATCCAAGACTTCTATATTTGATTTTATTATTACATTTTCGAAAGTGTAATACGTTTTTTATCGTGTTCAGTACAATGTCAGAATTAAGCAAATGGAAAGTTAAAGTGAGTATATATACTATTGTAATTTATATGTTATAATATATAGTACAATACACTGTAAGCTATTGTTGTGCTACCACAGATGATATACCGAGTGCACCCCAAACATGAGGGATTAGCTGAAGGTAGAAGTCCTTTTGAGACCGCTAGACTTTCCTATTCAATTAGAAAGAAACCAACATAAGAAGTGTATAAAATTGTCCCTAGTTTTAATAAATGACCTGACCTCTGTCAGGTCAGTTAGCAAAAGAGCTCCAAAATTTTGAATCTTCTTCTAGTCAATGACGGGCATTGACACATAAGGTGTAGTACAGTTTCCTTCTAATCAGCAGAGCCATAACTATAAGGGTAGAACGTAGACCAATTTTTATTGGATGTCTTTCAAGTGTGCAGTGATATGTAAGCATCGATACTGTAGTACGAACTTAGTTCTGCTTTAGTTGAAGCTGTTGATTGTTACGAGTTCTGTTCAAATCGGACCAGGTAAGTGTTGAGATCTGACACGAATTTTTACCTACTCATTCTGTATATCATAATAACCTGGAACATTTCTAAAAATAATTTATTGGTAAATTTAAATTATTTTACATATAAATAATAACTTATTCTTTCTCATCCAAGCAACGTGTTGGGATATATTTATTTAAACAATAAAAAAGGAAGCATGTTTTTACGTAAAATTTTAATTATATCAATATTTTGGTCACGTATTATTCTTTTATTAACTTTTCCACTGCGTATCTCGTGACACATTTCATATTAATTGTTTGTTTTTTTCAGAATAACTAAAATGCGATTTCTTTCATATCATAGTTTATTAGTATTTTTAAATACTTTTTTTAATATTTTTTAATATTTTTTAATATTTTTTATTTTGAACTTGAATTTCAGAAGAAAGTATAAATGTAAATGGCTTCAAAGTGAAATTCACATAAACGCCAAGTGAAATGACATAGATCGTAGAGAAATCCTATTGGATTATTTGGAGTGCTAGTCATCTGAAGCTTAAGAAGAGCTTAAGATGGAACAAGCAATTATATTGACATGGACTTAATAACTAGTTAAGATCAGAGATTTTCTTTTTAAGTAGAACTTTTCAATAAGTTATTATAAAAAATTATAATACCTCCTTTCCTTTTTTTCCATAAGAAATCGTCAATTTTTGAGGTCGATTATAGCCCAAGTTGGAGAATTTTTAACGACGTTGCTGAAGTGTTAGTAGGTTTCATAGCTTTCAGTATAAAGTATATGAAGTATATGGTTCATTGAACGAAGACTCGTTTTATGACAATTGATGTTTTTTTTTAATTTCGAAGAGAAATTCTTCTCATTTTAGTTTACTACTTGTTTTTTTCTGTAAGCCCCTCTGTAGGGATAGCTTCAAATTTTTAATCATTTTGTAAATATTTTAAACTTGATAGATTTACTTTATTTTAAATACCCAAAGTGAACGCAGAGTCCTGAATACCTGAGTATATGATGTTCACTAGCACCATTTTTCTAGTTTTCAAAAAACAACATTGGGAACACTTGGAGAAGAGTTAGTACTACGCATTTCTCTGTTAAAGCAGAGATGAAGTCGAAGCATCTTGAGGAAAGGTTGTGTTACACTTACTGACTTTATCACTAGTTATAGTTATAGATAGGTAAGTGTTACATTTCCTTTTTTACGATTTTGGTTAATTGCTACACCTTCCATTTATTTTATTTTAAGCATTTTAAGTTTTGCCAAAGGTTCAAGGAGGTTTTGAAACTCTGAGTTTTTCCCTTACATGGTAACACTTACATGGAGCCAATAGGTTTAAGTGGATTCGCTGGTGCAATTTAAATTAATTTAAGTGCAAACTAATTTGTTTTCACTCTAAGTCCATTTCAAATAGAGACAGATGGAAGACGCTTGATTGGTCAACGTAGGTTTTACTATTGATGTGGAGACTTTATAAGGTCTAAAGTTTGTGTTCAGTTCCCATATATTGATTTCTTTGAGTTTCTTTTCCACTTAAACCTAGTAACAAAAATTTGGTTGCATGTCCATGCATTTCCATTTAAGACTCACATTGTTGTCTATAAAAAAATATAGGGAAATACATGCGAATAAGATATTGATGCGATCAGTAATTCTGAGCCAGATATAGTGTAATCCAAAACTTTTCTCAAATTAGTACTGTAAACAACAATCAAAAGGCTTTGATAAATGAATATATTCAAATTGAAATCCTACGGTTAGGTTAAGTTCAAATGGCGTGAACTGATGTGAAAATCAACACCTATGCTCGGAGATAACCATTGACTACTGTGATGTTTTTGTATTTACCAGAAAGAGCCGAATTAAAATAATCATCGTTCACAATATAGCTCTTTGCGTTATCCACATTAAACTATCGGAATTTTTAGATCAATTTAAGATTCGATTAGTTTATTTTCGTGATTTATGTGAGACCAGTACATGAGTAAAGATACGGTTTCCTGTATATTGGAGTCGCTAGTCTGTAGCCCCCGAAAGACACGTAGATAGTGATTGATGGATTTTGTGAGATAAAATCTCTAATTTTTTAAAGAATTTTTTGCATTGATTTTAAAACATTATCCTATTAATCTTTGTTTGTTATTTAGATTGCTATATATTTATTTTTATATAATAAAAATAACGAAAGTTTATATATTATCTACAAAATATTACACAAAGGTTTGCATAAAGTATAAAGAAGTTTCGGAAATCTAAAATTTTCAAGATTCTGTTTGCTATCTTTCTTCTTAGCTGTCAATAGCTATAACTTGATTACGATCCCAAAGGTAGTTTCTTGAGCAAATCTTATTTTTTTCCAATTGATAAATGCAAGCAAAATGAAGGTGGGCCTTACTTGAAGGTTATTACATTTTATTATTTATAAATAATAATGATTTTTTGAATTTTTTAATAAATCTTTTCTTTTTTTTCAAATCCTTTCCTTTAAGTAACAAGATTTACATTAAAACTGATAATGCACTTCCAGATAAAATAAAAAAATGATAAGATGCTGTGTTACTTTGCATTATTTTGATGCTTTTTATATTTGTATTGGAATAAACACATGGTATTGCTATAATTTAAAATCAAAAAAAAAAATTAAAATGAAAACAATTCTTTGGACCCCACATGCCTACATTCTCCCTAGTCAAGTGATTTGATGCTTTTGTTAGAGAACGTGCCGTAATAATGTCTTTGACTGTTTGACTTCTTATTTAGTGATTAATGTAACGAGTAACCAAATTTAAAATTAACACAGATGATTTTGAATTTATATATATATATATATATATATACATCAAATTTAGTTTCTCCATTTCATTCATTCTAATGGATAGTTGAAACCAGATCTTTTTTGTTTATTAGTTATATCTTTTCTTGTATATATACTTTGTGTTTGAGCTAATAAGGAAAGTACTAACTAATTTATATGTTAACAATAGATATATTTTGTGATTTTAAAAATGAAATAAATTCATTATTGGATATAGGAATTACTTAAATATTCAGTATTTACAAACTTAGTAGGTATGTAGGTATTACCTACATACTTTCTCATCCAGTTCTCAAAAGAATCAAAAATATTGTTAAAAGACTATTAAAAATTTTGTTCTTAAGATTTTACAAATGTTCTTAAATTTGATTTTTTATTTGTTGTAAATAAGATTTAAAGTCGTTTAATAACCGAGTATTTAAAAAGTTTTTTATTTTGTAAATATTTTTACTTCTGCCGCAAACCCTGTATTACCTAAAATCGTTCCAAGGATCCATTAATAATGAAACCAATATCATTTTTGTTCTGCCATGTTTTTTTTTCTATACATAAATAAATCTTTAACTATTTATTGTGTATATATAACATATTACATAAAATTATTTATAAAACAACTTTAAGATAAAATTTGACTTTATTCAGCAAAAAATACTTCAAGGAGATTTGATGTGTGTAGGAGATTTCAAGTGTTAAGGAGACTATAAATGTGAAAGAGACTGCTTCAAGGCATTACGACTTAGTTCCATTATAATGTTATGATCTTTTGAATCAATACATTTTTACACTACGGTACAGAAGTTTCAAAAAACTTCATAAATAAAGGAATATACGTTGCATAATCTTGGTAGGAATGATTTCATGATATATGTATCAAACAAAACTGCCATCCAAGACAAAAACCGTAGCTAGAAATAAGCTTGTGGACTGGTTTCCAGATAATTTCAGTAATGTAAAAAAGAAATTTTATCTCATTAAATAATTATGATGTATTAGTTATGAATATACATATGTAAAAAAAAATATGTCTTCGCTGGTACCAGCTTCTTAAGCTGGACAATATAACCTACACCCTAGTGTAACATTAAGTCTAGAGGTGTGATAGGTCCGTACTTTCTTGAAATTGATAAAGGTGACTACCAAACCAATAATTTTGTATAGCAGAGTCATATAATTATAAATTTTTATTATGTAAAATTAAAGATATTGATGTTGAAGTTAGTTAGATAGATATATAATTTCAAAAGAACATTCAGAACCGAAGGATAAGCAACACAACACGTTCTGTTTTGGTTTTATTGGGACTAAAAGAGTTTATTGGTAAGACAGTAGAAGATCAGTATTTTCCAACACTACTTTTCAATACGTTATTATAAGTAATTATATTATTCACTTTTGTCTTATTTCCTAAAAGAATCATTAATTATCGAGGTCGTTTATAGCCTATAGTTAGACTAAGTTAGTTTTTGACTGTCAGCAATATTTTGCTTTTAAGTAGAAATATTTTGCGGAATATTTTGTTTCTAAGCGAGAATTCTGTTAAAACAAGAAGATCTTGCTCTTAAGTGATAAGTCTGTGAAAACAATAAGATCTTGCTTTTAAGCGAGAATTTTGGTACTTTTGATATTTTGTTCCTAAGCGGAAATTTTAATAAATTCAAAAATATAGGTGAACATTATAGTGTATTGCGTGACTTATAAATTGATTATATGGTTTGCTCACCACGATTATACGATTTGTTACTATTCGACTTTTTTGTAGGACATTTTAGATGTTTTTCCGTAAAGTTAAAAGTACTCTACAGTATTCTAGACACTTTGTATAAATCTAATGGTAAGGTTTAATTTATATATTGTATTAAAAATTTTGTGCACATATATGTTACGTTTACTTTTGGAACCACAAAATGGATGAACCTTTCTTTTTAGTATGTTGGATTTCATATACGGTTGGAATAAAAAGTATTACATTATTTTGGTTATAATATAAAGATATTTGCTTGTTCTTTACATGTGCCGAGCACATGTAATGATGATTCATATATTAGCCAAAGTAGTTGAAAATTCTTCGATATAATCACACAAGGAAAAAACCACATCACTATGTGTTGAAAAGCCATATGATTTGGCTGAGAATTATAAAGAGAAAAATATATACAGAAACTTTCGAGCGTATGGATGCCAAGAAAAATCGAAACTAAAATAAAACACAAATAAAAGTTTTCTAATTTTTTAAAAATAGCACCTTTAGTCAGTCAGTCAGTTTTCTACGAGTAACGTTTTGGTAAGGTTGCAATTAAACGAATTTTCACAACGATTTGAAAACTAAATGAAATCAAACGAAAAACAATTTTCCGAAAACTGTGCATGACTCCATGCGCTTATAAAAAGCCCATGAAATCCGCGATCCCATAAAACCAATTGTTGTATTATTTTTAATAAGTGATTTAACGCTTTTAATTTGAATGTGATCCCATAAAGTGTGAATTAATTTTCCAAAATATGAAAAAATAAAACAACAAAAGAGAAAAAAGTGCACACCTTCACATCTAGCAGCAAACGCACATAAATAAGTGCTTGAACGCAGCAAAAAACGAAGAATGCCCACAACCTCATCCTCATATGTAATGGGTGTAAAAATATAAGGAAAATTGTGAAATTGTGAAATACAAAGCCAAACATTCTTATTCTTGTGTGCTCTTTTGTTTTTTTCCGAAACTGCGAACTCTTCAGTTTTCTTTGTTTCTTGGACGCAATTTTCAACGAGGTGCATCATTTTCACCTAAAAGAATATAAAAATTTCCCGTTGATTTCGAAATTTTCATTTCTTGTAGAATAAACATTTTTTATATTCGATTCGCAGCGTAAAAACTGTACGAGCAGAACCTCTCGAATCGGGGAGAAGGATTGAGTCTTTTGTTTTGTGTGCATATTGCGCGATTGGTAAGTTACTTTTCTGTTGATATTATTGTGCTACGTCGTATTTCAGCCGCTTTAAGGCTAAGTGACAAGAGGTGTGCAGTGATTGGCAGACTATTCTGCATCTATAAAATCAGACTGCAGTCATAATATAATGGGCAGTTCTGAGTCAACACTTCCCACGATGGAAGACACTAATAGTGAAAGTACCACAACACAAAATGGATCGAATGGACTGGACGAAGTGGACAACATTAGAGCAGAAGCTATCTCACTTAATACAGAAGTTGTGACAAATAATGAAGCTGTCGACGATCCTTGGTGGTGGGAAATAGAAAATGAAAATTTGGTTTTAGATCAAGTTGCTAATATAAGAACGCTTTTTAGAGCGACTGAATATGATAATCAAAGTGTATTGCAAGTTTCTGATAGTAATCAGAATAATGATAATGATGTGAACAGTAATGAAAATAATTGTGATATAAAAACTGAAAGTGAAGTGAGTAAACCTAGTGATTCAGTTAATCCCAATGTTACGAATTTAAGTCTAACTTCTGTTGAAGTATTAATTAATATTAATGATTTGTGTGATATTTCGGAGAGATCGGAAATAATTAGTGATTTAAAAACAGACAATGTTAAAACTCCACGGGAGCAAACGCTAGAAGAATTCAAAGAAGAATTACGCATTAAACGCATGAAACGACAAACGGCCGTTCAAGATTTACGCGACGAAATTTCGTCTTTGCGTGCGCAATTAGCAACCGAACAAGCGATAAATAGTCAATTGCGTAGTGGTGAATCCGTACCCAAGAGTTCTCATGAGGATTTACAGGAAACTGTTCCGACCGAAGCACTTTCAGTTACTGCCAAACTCGACACAGATGACGTAGATCCCATGAGCCGTGGGCGACATGCCAATATTGAACTAGCGAATGCGCAGCTTGCGTTACAATTAGCTAACTCCGAAAATATTTCTCTAAGAACCGAACTTGGTGTGGTACAGAAACAGGTCTTCACTCTAAAAGAGGTAATCTCTTGCTGCAAGCAAATGTTATCCGTCAAGGAGGAGCAATGTACACAGGTAAATAACTTGAAAAACTTATAATCGTAATATCATTGCCGCTACCTTTCACCATCATCAAATATTACAATCAAATGTATATATCTATTTTATTAAAAAGTTTATTTACAATAGACTATCAATAGAAGATATTAAGTGAATTAGTTCAGTTACTATGTGGCAGATAGATCTGCAGGCCATCGGTGCATATATATAATATGATACTCTAGTCATACTAATGTTAGTCTTATTTATAAAGCATATAATAACTATAACAATAATTACGGGTTATTATCTGCAGTATGACAGGTCTAGTGTATTGTACATTATTTCTTAGTTTCATTGATATCTTTCTAGCAACATCTCTTTAGTAAAGATATTGCTTTGGCATTTTTATGGTTGCTTAGCCTATTTAGGTATTTTGAATCCATGTGTTGTGTTCTGATTTATTGGAGATAAATTAGAGAAGCTTAAACACTTTTTACAGCTGCTGACTGAAATCTCTTCAAGAACTTTATGTTAGAATTGATAGAAGTTCCTTATAATTGTGGTATATGTATGGCTGTTTAGCCTGTTAAGGTATTTTGAATAGTTGTGACTTGTTTTATTGAAGATAAATCAGAGAGTCTTAACAATTTTTTTAAGAGTTGTTGACTGAAATTTCCCTAAGAATGCCATGTTAGAGTTGAGAGAAATTCCCTCTAACTGCGGCATATGTACAGTTGCTTAGCCTATTTAGGTATTTTAAGTCACTGTGTATTGATTTGGAGATTGATTGGAGATAAACCAGGGAATGTTAAGAATGGCTCTAAGAGATGTTGACTAAAATTTTTCTAAAAATTCTATGTACAAGTTGATAGAAGTTTTTTCTTGATTAATTACTCAATTTAAATATTTTTTTAAAATTGTTTATATGTATCTATTGGAGGTGTTCTAATGGTGGAAATGACAGAGTAGACCCAGAAATGGTGCCCAATTTCTTATTATCCCCAGACACGACAGTAGAATACCAATGGAATCCATTAAATCTCATGTATAATCTATACACTATTTGAATAGTTATTTTATTCTTCATAAATAAAAGCGATGAAAACATAATATATATTCTTAAAACATTATTTTAAACTTAGTAAAAAATAAACCGAAAATGTATGTTTTTTCTTAGATCACCAGAGAAACTCACATCTCACTGGCATTTAATATTGTCTATACTTGTGCATAGAAACAAATACTTATGAATCTGTTATATAGTTAATAAAATTAGTCTATCACCAAAGAATCATCAATTCTTTTTGTTTCATGTAGTTTACTCTTCACAGAAAGATAATATTCTTTTTCTGTTAACTCTTATTCTGAACGTCATTCTCAATCATCCATAAATTCGTCTGTTTGGTAGCGTTAAATTGTAGTTGTGATATATCATTTAGTTAAGGCACTTATGTTTTTCATTAACTGGTAAGTTATTTTAGAGTAATAGTACTTACTTGTTCCTTGAAAAATTCTTAATCTGAATTTTTTTTCTGAAATTTATTTTCCAACTTTCTTAGAATATTAGGTATAATATATCTCAGTTCAAAAATTAGATATATCTATGTGGACAAATCTAAGAAAATTTAAGTGATTACACAAATAATTTAAAAAAATTAATAAAAAATTAATTTTTGAATATTAATAGATTTTTATGTTTATATATAATTTATATTTATATATTTAGAATTCGAACGGGAGGAGTTCTTTGCACAGTCGTAATTATATTCCACCTTTTTTATACCCTCAGTCTCAGAGATATGTTTTTAAATTCTTTTTTTGATTTAAGGAAAAATGTTTACAGGGAACTTGTCCTACAAAGATTGATTGTTAGAAATCGGCTAGTTCGACCGGAATATTAAGAGTCATGCAGTTAGTTTTTGTTGTATGATAACATTTGGCACCGTTGATTTCTGGATTGACAACAAAGAGAATTCGATTTGATACTATTACGATCATCAAAGGGACTTCGATCATTCCCACCGCTGTGTTAATTATTAAAGAAGACTATTTGAATTCAGTAGGATTAAAAAAAATAAAATAATAAATTGCTTGCATATTTTTTTAGATTATTTTCATCCAATCCGGTACGGACTCTATATATCTTCAGAAATCAAATGAAATAAAATTGTCATTCTCAGTCAAAGTCTGATTGAGGTATATATTTATCTAAATTGCAGATTGGGCTAATAAATTTTGAATATTAATTAATTTAAAAAGTTGGCGGTCAAATTATTTCAAAGAGTATTTAAGAGAGTATAAAGAGAATTGTCTCAAAGAATATTCAATTATTTCTTCTCTTTCTGTTTTGCTCTGTTCAAATTAATACACTACAAAATTAATAAAAGAATAGTATATGAGGAAAATTATTTAGACTTCTAAACAGAAAAATTGTGTTAAAAATCGGAACCAAGGCAATAAAATCGTAAGTTGCAGAAATATGTATAAGCTAAAACATAAACTTCAAATTTAAAGACTAGTTAAGAAACTACGACTTCAATTAAACCATATAACAGCACTAAAAATGAACAAAAACATTAGCTAACAGCACCAAAAATAAGTTCAATGCCTAATCATTCACAGTACACATTTTATAGTTTTAATATATATAATATTTATACTACCCTGACAAATATTAAAGTAAATGAATTAATAATAATAAAATAGTAATTGTATTATTTTACGGGGTCTTTGTGAGAAATTTTTAATCAAGTTTTAAGTGCTAATATGTAGTTTGGTTAATTTATTTATGTTGTACTACTTGAGCCAGTGCACTTGAGCACTTTACTTTTTCTTAACTCAAGGTATTTTCAAAACCCCTCTTTATGCCTTGACTGGAATATTGTTTACCGCTTCATCAGACTAAGCAATATTTGACCTCAGCTCTGCATACCTACCCGAGGAGCCATTCTGAGATTTCATAACGCGGTGTTGGTTAATAATGAAAATAAATTATCCGTTCAACATAATTTTTTTTATATGATGAATTGAGAAAAAATTTGCTAAATTTTTGAGAACTATACTAGAAACATTTTGTTTAGAAGTTAGAACCTCTCTTAATTTCTTTTACTAATAAAGTTTTATTAGGATTCTGGGTTGAAGAATAGTCTAAGTTAAGATAAAATTCTTTTGTCATATTTTAGATTAAACTATATTTAAGTAAAAAAAGTAAATTTTAATTTCTGCTTCAATTAAGTTCATATTTTTTGTTGTGTCATTAATTTTACAATCATTCTTATATGCCCTTATAGGCCCTTTATCACAATAGGCCATTACTTGAGCTGAAATGGGCTTTTTGGAAACAAGGACGCCACTCCAACCTATATGAGGCCTCGGACCGTCTTTTCATTAGGAAATATTGCTTCGGGTATACTTTAAAGACATTCCATCGCCTTATATGGGCCCCATTTTAGCTAATGAGCTAATGCTTCTCAAAACTAAAAAAAAAAATAAAAATAAAAAACAATTAAATACTAATTTTAATGTCATATATTTTTTATGCTGATTGATCACTGATAGATATATTTCAAGTTTAATTATGATCTCTAAAATATATTGAATTCTGTTAAAGGCACTTTAAAAATTATTACTTGAATCGCTTTATAAAGTGATTCTGTTCTGTTGAAGAGCAAACGTTTCTGTTCCTTAGTTGGAGAGATTTTAATTTTGATAAATTAATTTCGTTAAATTAATAATTTCATCAAATCATTATATTATATGATATTGTTTGTCATTGTTAGGTTTTTTTTTTTTGTTTAAAATGATTTTCATAGTTACTATACTTATTAAAAACATTCGAGTATAAAATCTTTTTTAAATTTAGAGCAGTTGTTTAGTCTATTTTCAAAAGGCAAAGAGCTAAATGTTCTAAAAATATTTACTTTGGCATAGAATACAATTCTCACGTCAAATGTCTATCTCAACGAAACTAGGTACAAACATGCATCACATATTGAAATCTTTTAACATTCAATACAGATCACGCTTTCATTATATTTACTGTGTTCCAATTCTAGCGTATAGAGGAGACAATTAATTATATATAATATATATTTTATATTTTTCAAAAATTTGAGGCAGGCAGTAAACTTATATCTCTAAGTTTGTTTTTATGCAAATAGTTCTCGCAAATTTTAAGATAGTCACATGGAACTTTATGGTATATAAAGACTTTTCTAGAATGAACTATAATCATTTTTCAAAATCATTCAAATCTTCTATTTTACTTACCCCATGAAGTAAAAGACCCAACTAGATGATTCCCTACTATAAAAGTCCATGTTTAATTGAAATAAGTGAAATAAGAATTTGATTGTAGCTTTAAAATATAACTGCTTTATAAGTAGATTAGTTTTCGTTTAAAACTATATTACCAACCAACTTTATTTTACTTGGATCCATTTTTAATTTTTTTCTTTATGCAGGAGTACTCGTTTTTTTAATTGTAAACGTGGTCCTATATTAGCTACCAGTTTTTCATATATTCTGATCCATGGACAGACTAAATCTAATTAATTTCTCTTTGTTAGCAAACTATGGTGACAAAAATTTTTGTTATATCGGTCATACTATTACGAAAAGAGGAAACGTAGATCTGCCGACTGCAATTGTTGCTTTATGAAAAATGTATATGTAGCTCAGTTCATGATTTTAGGATCATCCAGTACTTTTACTTCATTCTCTATTTGGTTTCTACTAGGACACCACTGGAGTAGCTGACGTGTCTATTGTAATTTCTTATACTTGCAATATTTCTATTTCAAGATGAGGATTTGTAGTAATTTTCTAAGATTAAATCATGTATTCTCACGTACCGGTCAGTTGCTTCAACTAAGACTAAAACTGCTCAGCTCTACGATTACAGTGCATGCGTGTCACTGCATACTGTGAATATATGCTATTGAAATGAGTCTACCATATAATGATTTTTGTTGTGTTAATGGATCTGCAGATGAGGAGTAAACTGTATTCTACAATATGTGTCAATGGTTATA